ATGAAGGGGGTGTATGGGAGGGATAACGAGGAGGGGGATCTGATGTGTATGTTTTATGTAGGGGTTGGAAGGGTGGATTGCAGAGTTGTGGATTTATAGTTGGGGTTGGAGTAGGGAGGTGAGGGTTGGGTGGTGTGATCTGCGGAGGAGGGACAGTCGGGTAGAGGGGGGTTTTATTTGAGGTGGTAGTCTGGTGGAGTTTTATGTGGAGATGGTGTGATAAGGGTATATTGATCTGGTGCGGGGAATGGGAGTGGAGGTTTTAGAAGGGTGTTGGAGTGCATTGACTGCGTGCCATTGTGGAGATGTGTGGCGGATTTGAAGGCGTTTGATTTGAGGTGATCTGGTTTGGGAGGGTGTAGTGTGAATGAGTTTGGGGGTGAGGCTGTGGCGGATTCAGTGTCCCACGGTAGATGAATTTGGGCGTGATGGAAAGGAGGGATCTCGCATTGAGGAGATGAGGCTCTGCGTAATTGGCGGGTCGTGACGTTGAGAGCCATTGCCCGGGAGTGGATAGAGAGACTGCAGACGTGAGTGCCGGAAGGTTAGGGTGGGGGTGAAGGAGTTAGCGATGGAGGCAGGTGGCCGGCCCATGGGTCCTGCTACAGCGGAGTACTATTTGCCCAACTACAAGCTGGGGAAAACCCTAGGGATTGGGTCTTTCGGGAAGGTGAAAGTGGCAGAACATTCACCCACTGGCCACAAGGTGGCTATTAAAATTTTAAATCGACGGAAAGTCAAGATGATGGACATGGAGGAGAAAGGTCGGTTTCAGCCTTTTGTTATACTTTGATCCACTTCCTTAGGCCTGATGAAGTGCTTTTGCGTGTCGAAGGAAAACATGTGTGTGTGTGTGTGTGTGTGTGTGTGTGTGTGCGTTGAGTCTGTCAGTGGGTCAGTAGGGGATTTAGCATCTGCCCAAGAGTTTTAGCTTACAGTCAGATCAGTACTTTCCTTTTTTTTTCTTTTGTGTATGGGTTCAGGGTCTCTTGACTAACTTTAGTGTAGCTTGACCTCCTTACAAATATAGAAATATCTTGTACTGCTTATCGTTCAGTCATTAGGGTTCATGAATCCTTTCTAGGGTTCGACTACTCATGTATGATGTTCGCATTCAGTCCCTAAGTCCATAAGTTGATTCAGTAATGGCTGAGGTGTGGTGGCATGTTGTGCAGTGCGGCGTGAGATCAAGATTTTGCGACTATTCATGCATCCCCACATCATACGCTTGTACGAAGTTATCGAGACACCGGCAGACATATTTGTGGTGATGGAATATGTAAAATCAGGGGAGCTGTTTGATTACATTGTTGAGAAGGGACGTCTAGGTGAACATGAAGCTCGACGATTTTTCCAGCAGGTAGCCTATGCTCTGGTTTTACAGCTATTCTAATGCAAGTTACTGAATTGTACGTTGGGGCTTCATTCAATCACCTTGATATGCCTGCTGTGGTGACGTAAATTCTCGAGGGTGGATTGCGGAGTTTAAAACCATTTGTTGGCATAATGATGCTGTGAGTAGAAAATTTCCGCTCCGATTAAGTGGTTCTTAATTTGTTTTCTTGTGCTTTTTTCTCTTCTCAGCAACACTTGATACTCATGGGACTCCCGTGTGTGTGAGAGGGAGAGAGGGAGAGAGTGTGTCTTTTGTCTGAGGGATAAATGTTTCATGAAACTTTGTATTTCGTGTGCACTCTTATCTTGAAGCTGATTGAACTTTCTTATTCTGTACAGATTGTGTCCGGAGTGGAGTATTGTCATCGGAACATGGTAGTTCATCGTGACTTGAAGCCAGAGAACTTACTTCTTGATTCCAAGTCTAACGTCAAGATTGCTGATTTTGGGTTATCCAATGTTATGAGGGACGGTCATTTCCTCAAAACTAGCTGTGGAAGTCCAAATTATGCTGCTCCAGAGGTTTTGCTCTATGCCTGATTGCCTTGTTTGACACTGTTTTAATTCGTCATGTGATTGTGTCACATGTTTCTGTTTTCTGTGTTGGGTGCCTGAACCAAGTTGTAGGTTTTCTGTGCCCGGACACACTCCTGCTTGTTGACTGTTGATATTGTTGAACATGCAGGTCATTTCAGGGAAGTTATATGCCGGTCCCGAGGTGGATGTGTGGAGCTGTGGCGTTATTCTGTATGCTCTTTTGTGTGGTTCTTTACCCTTTGACGACGAAAACATTCCAAATCTGTTTAAGAAAATCAAGGTTAGATTGTTGGTTCGGCGTGTCTAGCTATTTGTTTCGTGTCTGGTAACAGCGCTGCAGTCGAGTATTGTGTTTCTTTCAGTCCGCTTAGAACCGCGTAGTGCAGTTTGTGTACAAGCCCATGTTCTTACTTGAAGATAATGTGTACAAAGCGATTTTACATACTTATTCTGAAGCGAAGGTTTGCAACCCTGAGTCTCTGTCTGATAGCTTGTGTTCTACGTGCATGTACATATAAAATGATATACAAATACGTAGAATTTACTGGTTGGTATTCACTTTTGAATTGTATTTTCTGCTCAGGGTGGCATCTACACTCTGCCTAGTCATTTATCACCAGGAGCAAGAGATCTCATTCCAAGAATGTTGCTTGTAGACCCGATGAAGAGAGTAACAATTCCTGAGATTCGGCAGCATCCATGGTTTTTAAATCATTTGCCCCGTTACCTTGCAGTTCCCCCTCCTGATACAACTCAGCAAGCTAAACGGGTAAGAGCTCATTATAATTTATTAGTGTATGTGCTCTTGAAATTCATGGGGTTGCGCTTGGGTTCACTTGCTGCTTTCTTTACTTTTTTAATTCAACCGCCAGAGGCTCTAGATTATTCCCTGAAATTTCTAAAAATGTTTTGATGGCCGTTTGAGAAATTTTCTCTTTTCTAGTATGTACATGCAATTTAACGTGTATGTAAACGACGAGCATGTGTCGTATCTTCTCTTACTCGTAGAAGAACATGAGAACTTCGATCAAATTAATACCGAACTTCAAAACTGAGGCTAAGCGTTGTAATCTTCGAAATGATCGCGGATTAAAATTGTTCTGAGGTGTTTCCTCGAAGTTGATAGCTTTGCTTGGTCTCACTTTTGAGGATATGGATGACCGTGCTTATCAGAGTATGTTTAATATATAAGTTTGTGAAACTTGATGTCTTTTTTTTGAGTAATGTTCTCATTTATGAGCGACACTGGTCGTGCCGTCTTCTGAGTATGCATATGATTGTTTGGTGGTGTGTTTACGGACAGATTGACGAGGAAATATTGGAGCGGGTTGTTGCATTGAATTTTGATCGGGACCTACTTATTGACTCACTGCTAAACCGCGTGCAAAACAAGGTACTTACTCTTTCGTAGCGTATCATACTTCCTTACAGTGTAATGCAATTTATCAATGCCCCAGTGGCTTGGTAGTGCCAACCTAAACCTTGTCTAAAGTTTGGAAAGTAGTAGGAAATTCTGACTACCTATCCATTCAAACTTATCAGCAGAAATTCTGTATCTTAGGGTTAACAAGGTTTGTGAACATGGGTCCAACTAATGAGAACATTTAATTTTCTATTCTGCAGGCCACTGTGGCATATTATTTGATGCTGGACAACCGTCGGCGGCTTTCAAATGGTTATCTTTGCTCTGAATTCAATGAGGGAAAGGTTGGTTTAGGGCTGTCAAGACTTATCTTGTTCATGATCTCATGCGTCCTTAAATTGAGTAGGTGCAAAATCGTTCATTTATGGTATTCTTTGGCTGGCACGGCAAACACATTCCATTTTTGTTTTGATTTCTTCTCAGAACTTAAGGTAAAGCATTGTCTAAAGTGAGGAGTTTATTTCTTGATGCAGGAGCACTTGATGTCTCCAATGGATGCATTTAACGGGACGCCAAGATCTGGTTATCCTCGAACTTTAACCCACATGTCTAGTATGGACCGAAGAAGTGCATCGCCCTCTGGGCTACAACATAGGGTTGTAGCTGAGAGGAAATGGGTTTTAGGTCTCCAGGTATTTTTTGAATTTCCTTTCTCTACCATTCTAATAAGTCCATTTCATATACCTCTTCCCTCAGATCTCGTTCCTCTCAATTTCGGTAGTATCTATTGTAACGAGCTACAGATTCTTGTTGACACCAATTTTTTATACTCTATTCGGTTTGAGAAATCTGAAGGACAGTGGCGATTGTAGATAACTTATTTAGGGTGGTTAACTGTATTGCAGTTACGATCACACCCTAAAGAGATAATGAATGACGTTTTGAAGACCCTCCGCGATCTGGGCATCAACTGGAAGAAGACAGGGGCTTACAACTTGAAGTGCCGATGGGTTGCACCAGGCCAAAATTCGAATGACACGACTGCAGAGAATCATAGCCTTCCTGATTCCCCAATGGCTGGATCTATGCCTAGAGCTTCTTCTTGCCGCTGGTCTTCTGAGCAGCACGGAGTTTCTGGTTCAGTGGCTGCTGGAAACAGAGATAACGAGAGTGGCGTCGAGAGTAATGTCCTCAAGTTTGAATTGCAGGTTCGTCTCTTCAAAAATATTAGTTCTCGGTTTCCTAGCACAGTAAGGTGTATCATTTGCTTAAGCCGTCTTCATCTTGGATTTATGGTGACTTCAGAATTGGGTCATTCTAATTGCCAAGTTGATACATGTCTTGATCAGGGCCTCAGCTAAATAGCTTACTTCTCATCACTCTTCTATGTAATTGTGAAAGGACCAAGTTTTAAACACCAGGAAGTTGGATCAAACAAGTTTCCTTTTCTAGGAACTTTTCGTAGCATTTCACATGCTTTGCAGGACTTTGTGCAGATTATGATACGTTGCTGAAACCAAATCAGTTTTTACAAGTCATTACAAGTGCAATGCTAACAAATTCTGCCTGTATCTTCTGAATGCAGCTCTTCAAGTTGCGAGAAGAGAAGTATTTGCTGGACCTGCAAAGAGTAGTGGGTCCCACATATCTCTTTCTCGACCTATGCGCAGCTTTCCTAGCGGAGTTACGGGTGCTGTGAGATACGGAGGGTCGCTATGTTTTGATTGATGTCCGATTGGATGTGTACATGACAGAGGAAATTCTGGCATAAGTCTTGAGATCCTGCTGTAAGGCAATTTAACTGAGTCTACAAAGCCCTTGTATTATGGAAGCGACCCTCGGGAATCGTTTATGTATAGTAATTAGGGTTTGAAGCTCAAGTAGGCCCAAAGGCAGGTGAAGTCAATCAGGCGCTTTGATTTCTTTGAACTTCTGAACTCACCCAAAGCACATCAGGTTGGAAAATTAAAGAAGTCTATTGGCTTCATTTGTTCCCTGCCTCTTCCCGCAGTACTCAGGTAGGAGTGAGTGGGATTACCTACTCACATCAATCCGCTAACGTGACATTTTAAGTATCTTTTCAGCTTCTTGGTAGCCCGTTCCAGCGATACAGCATCGGCAATTTGAATTCTTACAGTCTGAGCCTTGTTGGTCATGAGCTTCTTGATTTCAACAAGGTAAGGTTGTGTTCGGTTTCACTTTTCTGGTCTCGCTTGGTTATGTGCTTCTCTTGTGTTGATCTTACCTAGGTCTATCATTTGAGAATTATGGCTAGTCTTGGTATGGTTGACCACTATGGAATGTATATGGGTTCTTCTAAGTAATGCATTTAGATAGCATTCTTGTGCTCTGGATTGTTGTGCCTACCTTCTTAATGTTAACAGCGTTAATCAAGTTCTAGTTTTCTTTATGGCTGGATTTTGAATGAGTGCTTCATCATCCTCTGATTACACGGTTTACATTATTATTCTTTTGTCGTTGTGTACTTGACAGTTTACTTCAAAAGTTACTTGCACATGACTGCTGTACACATTGTACAAGGCTTCTAGTGTCTGTCGCAGGAGCTTATGACGCATGGGTCATCTGGATATCTTGTCATTTTTTACCTCGTATCCGTTCTCGCAGAACTTTCAATATAATTTTTTTAGAGTTTGGATGTGATGGTAGTAATCATCGTGGGGTGAAATTTACTTTAGAACAGTATGATTTCAATTGACTTTGATTTTCAATGACAGTCTGTCATGTCAAGGTTGTTTAATCTTGAATTGTGCTCATCTGGCCCAACCTACCTCTACTAATAAAATTGTTGAAATTTTAGCATGTCTTCATTAATACCCATATCATTACAATCGTTTTGATGTGTTGAAATGATGTAGAATAGATGGTCGAGATTATTCCGCTTCACTGCAAGTGAATTAAAAACTTTTAGAACTATCAGAAGGTGAGAAGGTATTCTAGCCATATTGCTAGTTGACGTCCCTCTCATATAAGTTGATTATTCATTTTATTACTTTTTTAGGTCTAACATTCATTACCCTAGCAAAGCGGGTACATGTTTATGCATGTATATATATATATATATACATATATATTCTAATTTTCAATTCTGAAACCAATAACATTCCACCAGACAATATGCACACAATACTTTTTTTCTACATAAAACCATAAATTCGACATTTATTAAGATAAAACAGAAGTTTCTCAGTTTGGCCAACATTACTATTCAATGGAACTCTTTTAACCTTTTTTTTCGTTTGGTTTTTTTGTTTTGTGTTTCTTTTTTTTCTATGTTTGTGGGTTTAATTAATTAACTCAAGAAAATGTTAACTTTATGCATGTGTTTCTTGACTTTTAATATAAATTTGATCTAATTTTTTTCCTCCCTTTTTCAATTTCGAAGAAATATTTCCAAAGTAACCATGTCTTATAGAAGGCATTCAAATCATTAGTGATATTTTCTTTTTCAGTTTTAGAATGCTAATTTCCGTGCAGTGTACAATGATATTTTACCACCTCTAACTCATATTACGTTACTAAATTTATGACTCTATACACAAATCCGCCTTTGTTTTTCATTGTTTTTCAACTTTTCAAAAATTGTACCTTCAGTTGCTTCTAGACTCATAAAAATCATTAATTGGGTACTTTATGGTAATTGTATAGGAGTTCAAAAACTTAGCTTTTGATACTTTCTCATATTCAGCACAAAATGGATTTTATCATTTGCATTTTCTCGTCTCTGGTTTGCTTCATGAGGCTTTATAAAAAATCAAGATCAATTTCGTTGTTCAATCCTACCTGACCCTTTGTTTTCATCAAGACTGTTCAAGCCAAACTTCGACCAACCTATGATGTAGGATCGGATATAGTCTAGTCAACTATTTCATGAATACTATTACATTAAAAACAATTATCTAAAATCATCGGGTACTGTGCTTTTTCATGTACAAACACAGAAGCACAAGGCATTTTCACTTAAGTTGCCCCGCAAAAATATTCGGTGAAATTTGTGTATGAGATACTTCACCACCTCATGTACACTCTGCCAAAGAGGTCAGCATGAATCTGTGTGCACCAAAGTTAAAAAGTTTGAGCTCACGCCACCATGAGCTTGCAGTACACGTTTTCCTCGCATACAAATCGTTTACTTCGCTAGGCAAATGTGCTGCCAAGTCTGGCTGACCCGCAAGACCATTAAGATAGAATTCCAATCTAAATGTACATGCTATGATTATGAAACATCACCACCTGTGTGGAAACGATTGACGTGGAGGTGGCAGCATAACTCCGCCAGCATAATACCTGTTGATCACTTCTCTGTTCTTGATTTCTCGGGTCTCCTGAATCAGGGCAAGCAACGATTAGTTCTGTGAGACAGGAACAAGCAATTCCATGAAAGAAAAAAAAAAGTAATCGAGCGGCAATGCACTCATCTGACATGGACAGATATAGGCATCTCCTTCTCTCCATCACAATTCATGTGTGAATTTGCACACCGACACGACACAAGAAGTAAACTGAAAGTAGTTGATGAATTTTCTGAATGATGATAAGCTATCAAATTAAGAGCAAGAGGCTCAAAAAGGGCTTTAAAATGCAACTCAACTCAAGAATCAGCAAAACAAAACACTGTTTTCATGACGAAGGTTACCGTGTGCGTGGCAAGACTATACCAAACTCTCCTGAACATGCCCTGTTCTTAATAATGCAAACACGCTGAAGTACCGGATTGTAACCTAATTTCTTCTTCATACTTTTCCTCATTCATCATTTTAGAACCAGTAACGAAAGGGATCACTCTAAAAGTCTATATCGCCACCTAGAGTTCTACACCGCAAAAACGATTATTTCTATTAGTTAACAAACCACTAGATTGCACAGCAATTTTGCGAGAGGAGCATTGAACATCACCTGACAGATTGCGCAGGACCAGCAGAAATAATGGACGAACCAATCTGGCAATGGTCGACTAGGCAAGTTATACTTGCGCCTAAGCTTCTTACGATACCCGTAAGAGTATACACACCCGCACGACGTCAATTGCTGAATCACATACCACACAAGCGCTGCTGTAATACATGGAGTGTTCCCATCATCCAGATGCTCAACAACGCGCCCGAACGCAAGACACGGGCAGACCATGGTGAACACGCAATTCGGGACATCTTCCATGCACCCAAGGATCCCCGTCGTCCAGTCGTTGTCCGTGTACACATGCACAACCTGGTGGCTACCCCCGTAGTAATTGACGGCGAGCGGCGGTTCCGACCGAATGACGGGATATCCATGATGCTCAACCGTCGCATTTGATTGCGGCTGCTCATTTCCTATGAATGGTTGCGTCGACTGCCCCGAAGTGGCTCCCATAGTTCAGTTGCTTCAAAACCCAATAATCCTAGACCGCACAAGATACCGAAACGACACAAAATCGCGATGAATTCAACCCCAAATGACCGCAACTTCTTCCCTTCTCCAAATTCAACCTAGCACGAATTCACCACGTCGGTATATCTTCCTCCACCACCACCTTCAGAATACCCCACTGAAGGCGATGAAAGCCACGTCCGGAGCCTGACCATGCATACAAGGATCCTAGTCGGAGTTATCCGCGGAGAATAGTAGGATTTTCACCAGCTATGGAGCAATCCAAATGTGAAATACCGCAACAGCGGCAACTGAAGTCGTGAAGGAGCAGTGGCTTCGGCGTCGATCAATGGAGCTTTCCGTGTAATTTCTGACTTCCTCCGTGGCAGACACCGTGGACTCTTACCCTGCCAGATTGATGACGTGGACGCACTTTTGCCGAGTTGGACGAAATCGTGGTTGCTTTGTTCATCCATGTTCAGCGAGGCAATTAGGAAAGAAAAAGTGAAAGGCATTCAGGTTTTTAGGGTTGATGCCCTCGGTATATTGATACCAGTACCTTGGGAGGATGAAACTCAGATGATACCCAGATGTGAGGCTTCATCGACTAAAGGACGAGACCGATTTAGATTCGAGCTGCGGCAGCGACGCTATTGAGTCGTTGTTGTTGCTTGGTATTGAAGCATCACATGGATTTCGGTTGTAGGTGGGCCGTCTGTTGAGCGATGGGGAGCAGTGTGCAAAGAGTGGTATATCGCTTCGGAATCGAAGCAGTGAGAAAAGCTGCGCAGTCTCGTACAATATGAGAGCCACAGCAATAACAAAGGGACGGAGTTTGGAAACTTCCGTTGTTACCATGTCTATTCTTCGATTCTCCCCGAGCTTGGTTTAGTGTGGAAATTGACTGGTTACCAATCCTTTTCGCCAATTGTCCTGGTGCTAGATCCGTCGATGTTCGGGATCCTGCATGTAGAGGTTACGAGGTGGTTATGAATGGAATCTCCTACCGAATTGTACAGAAGCGTTTGATTGCGGCTACTGCTGGGAGAATAATAAGTGAGCAAATCTTTGACAAGATGTCATGCGTCATTCGATTGTCAGCATATACTGTCGTAACGGATGTTAAGAGAGATGTAAAGTTAGTTCATCAACAATCTCGACGTCTCACACATTCAGCCGTCAAGAGCACTTGATCGGCGAAGTAGCAGGTTGGTTCCGGACCATTGCTTACCATTCTTCAGATTCAGCGAGGGAGGTAAAGACCTGGAGGTGAAGTGTGTTATAGCGATTACCCACGACTTTCTCAGGCTAAATCTATTGATGACTAGTCTCCTTTCATCATTTGAGGGTTCACCACATATGTTCTGAAGTTATCATCGTTTATTCCCGACACAAATCTGTCCGCCCACAAGAGACCTCCACAGACGAGGAGAGTACCAAACAGTACAATCCTGGTGAAGAACACCCATTGGCTATAATCACAACAAATTACGAGCTTTAAGGCCACATATCCTTCTAGATGCAGGGATATAATCCAAGTAAAATTCACAGAAAAGACCTCTACGACCATGAACAGAATCACCTACAAATCAGGGGTCGTGTGCGCTCAGACAAGAATAGGAAACTGCAAATGAAGATCAACAAAACAAACAACGTGATGTTGAACACAAGAGGGGATTTCCGAACTTTTTGAAAAGCCCTTGCATTTTTAGAAAAAAAAGGCGACATGGAAAACCACCGCAATTCCCAACATCCACGCCCTCTATCGGTAACGCTTGAGGGAAAGAGTGTTGTTGCGCTTCCATGTAGCGCGAATAGAAGGACGAGCCTTAGTGTACAAGTGCCCTCTACCACGAAGACCACGGTACTTCTTGCCAGCAGAAGTTAATCCACGCAACTCACGGTGCTTGTGCACGGGGTTGACAATCCAGTTGATCCTTGAGTCCTTGCGGATTACAGTATGTTGTGGATCCACCAAGATAATCTCAAAGTACTTGTAGGTTGAGTCCTGGTTGATCCAGTAGGAGTTGAGGACCCTCAGGCCTCCAAGCTTCCTTCCTGCACGCTCCTCAGCAACTGACCGCAAGTTACGCTGGAACTTGAGCTGTGTAATACCCTGGTTCTTTGGCTTTCCGTACACAATACCCTTAGCAACAGGCCTCTTCCTGCCTCCACGGCGCACACGAACACGGTACACCACGTAGCCCTGATACAAACACACAGAAATAATCAGCTCCAAGTACCCCACAAGAAATTGAAGGAGACAAACAAGCAAGAGAATGTATTTTACTCAAGACTGACAGCAGAAAATATATTAGTATACATAATGGCGGAAATACCAAGACAAAAGTCAACTCTCGAGGATCGAGATGTACGATTATAACATGACGCCACATATTCCAAAAACATACCTAGTACCGCGTTAACTAACAGACGCATCGTCATCCACGATTACAGATTCAGGACGTGGAGAATACTTGTAGATGGAAAAGGTCAAAGGGTGTGTACGCTTCAATCTCATCAACATCCATGTATGCAGAACCCTACGACAACAACAACCAAACTCTAATTTGACCCATAGAGACTAAGATAATGGCTGTCGAGAGTTATGTGTATCGTTCTGCGCGAAAACTAATTGTGATTCTATTTTTTTAAAGTGACAGTGGTAATTCGCATAATTTGGGTATTTAACAGAAAAATAACTTACATGAGCCTAGAACTTGGAAAATTGCGAGCCGCGATGAAACCTAAAGGCATACATTTTTGGATCTGACGAGTACCTCCAGGCACAACAGTACTGCAACTACAACAAACGACATAAAGTATCCACATGAACGTAACAAGAAGTAATCGGTTTAATGACACGCACTTGCTTAGCCTTGTAACCTAGTCTACGAGCCTTGTCAGGCCGAGAAGGCCGAGTGACGCGGACAATGCCGGGAAGCTGCCTGTACTCCCAGCAGCGCACACGAAGCAAGAATCGCAACACATCGGACTGCTTCTTCCGCCATAGCTCCTCAATGTATTTGTACGCCCCTAAACAAACCAAAACAAATAAATAAGACCCCGAAACCCCATACACAATTCGCCAACACTAACAACATGAAGCAACACCGGTGCAACGTAGCTATCGAAGTCGAATACACAACATCACAATTTCAACCGCTCCTCAAGACACACAATCAAAAACAGAATCTCAGACAGGCCACAACAAGACGCTAGAGCTTTAAACCCTAAACTACAATGGAAGGCTCTGACTACAAAAAAATGCGAAATAGCGCACCATGATCTAGTAAAAAACTCGCACAAAACACCAGTAACCAACACAACCTACGGGAAAGTGCAAGTACCCATGACGAGGAATTTTTCTGAGTCGCGGAGTCGACAACGCAAGCGCGACCTAAGAAGGAAGAGCAAGTGAAGAGCTCGTCCCATTCAAAGCAATGAGCCGCCTCTTCGTGAACTAAACCCTAAAATCTAAATGAACATTTTATGAACATAATACGGGATTTCTTGCGAAAACGTAGACTTTCTGTGTCACACGTAAGTTTTGTAGATCTATGGCCCTACCGACCAAAACACCCTTCTCAGGCAGGCTTTGGGAGCGTAATGACCTCTGGAGTTCAGTTTCGTGAATGTTCCCCAAATCAGGATCTACTGGAATTTAAGTGAAGAGATACATAAGCGGATAAAAGTTTGAGGATTGTAAATTTTATTCTTGTAGTTGAAATATAGGAAAAATTATAAAAAGAAGTATGATGGTAGAAATGTGTGCTGTTTAAATATGTTTATTGCAATTATTCATAATTATATTTTTATGTAAATGATGGATGTAATGTAGAATATTATAAATTAAATATGTATATATATATATATATATAATATTAATTTTATTTAATAATATTTAAAAGTGTCTTCTTTAGTATCTATTAAGGATATGAATCTCAAGAAAAGAAAATCTTTAATACACTCATGTATCACTGAAAGGAACTAAAAAATCACTCAAAGATGATAAAATATTGAACTAGAATGGTTATTGCCAAAAATAAGAAGACTAATAAATTTTGGAACAAAACTAAGGACTAGAAAGGCATTGACAAGAGTGAAGAAGGCTTCACTCTTGCCTCCATATATACTCTCTAAGTAGGAGCTATAATGTAATGTTCTATAGGACTTCCAACATGTGTTGACTTTGCTAGCCGCATGTCTTAATTTGTAAGGCAAGTTATCTATGTATGCGCCACATAGTTAGCTTATTCCATAAGTTACTACACGGAATTAACTTCTTTCATAAGCTACCAATACGAGGTTAAACTGTTCCACAAGCTTCTAATACGAGGTTAACTTATTGGCCAAGTTTCTAATCTACAAACACATCCAAAGTCAAAACCATGTTTATGCAACTTTAAAGAAGCTTCTTTAGAAGACTTTATGAAATTAATCTATATTTATTTACTTCTACCTAATCATATCACTTATTATTAAGATAAATGTATATGTTTGTGACATTATCCTCCCTTCTAAGAATGAGTTCTAAGAAGAGCAATCTTCATATGTTGAGGAAATCTAAGATGTGATGAATTATATTTGCGACATACTTTGATCTTTGTTCTCTTCAAAGATAATTGATAGGTCCTCTCAACGATCGATAGTGTCTCATATCAGGGCGAGAAGATCACCTTGTTATTTGATTGTTGTTAAGGCCTTTGTAACTTCATTCAAATAAAATATTTGGAACACCATCAGGAATTGTTCCTACCTCTAATAAAATTATCAAACATCACGACTCTCTTTCAAAGTTGTGATACCAAACATGTTATAACTTGCTATGTATTTGAGGAAAGATATATCATTCTTGAGAATCTTTACTTTGATTTCATCATCTTAAAAGTTGTGACAATCGCAATGTTTTATTTGGTAAGTCCGGAAATGAAAACACTTGAATTGAATCTACTAGTTGTATCATGAACATATATTTACTATAATTATTATCTAGGTGATATAAATAGGTAGAAGTAAATAAAAGTAGATTAATTTCATAATATCTTCTAAAGAAGCTTCTTGGAAGCTTCTTAGATGCTGTTTTGACTTTATATGTGTTTATACTTTATTCGTAGGTTAGAAACTTGATCAACAAGTTAACCATGTGCCACACATGTTGGTAGCTTGCGAAACAAGTTAACTATGTAGCACCCACATAGAAAACTTGCCTTGTAAGTTAAGATATGTGTTGTACAAAGTCAACACATTTTTGGAGGTCCTATAGAACGTCACCACATAGCTCTTAAATAGATAGTATATATATAGGCAAGAATGAAGCCTTCTTCACTCTTGTCAACTTCTTTCTTGCTTTTAGTCTAGTTTCAAGGATCTATAGTTTTCTTGTCTTTTGGCAATAGCCATTCTAGCTTCTTTTTTAATATACATATTTAGTTATTTCTATTTTGTCATCTTTTTTTGAAAAAAGTCTCACTTGTTTATTTATTTTTATCAAGTTCTTGTTCTTGATAGATTGACAAGAATGCACTTATAATATCAGAGCTTTGTCTAATCTTGATTAAGAGTGGATTATTCTTTTCTCTTCATAAGACATAACATATTAGAAGTTGCAGATTACCCTCTTCTAAACTAATATTATTTTTAGTATTTTCTTTGTTTTTAAGTCTTCTTTTTTATGTATCTTGAGCGATATTAGACATCTCCTCTTTTCTAAGTATTATCATGGCAGAACTTGCTAAAATAAAGAGTACAATGGTACAAATGTAAGAACAATTAAGGAAGTTAATGCTTGCAATGTATTCATTTAATTTACTACTACAAAGAGCAACAAGATTGGCAAGAAGTGAAGATATAGAAATGATTGAAGTTGCTTCAACATCTGTACTAAATCATATCTCTTTTCCTATGACAGAACATCCTTCTAGTATTAGAGAACCAAGAATTACCCTACTCGAGAAGTTTCATGGCACCAGATCAAAGTTTAGAGGATTTATCAATCAAGTACAACTTGTGGTTGAACTTCAACTCCAAAGCTATCCAACTCTAAGATCACAAGTTAGATTCATTATTACACTTCTTTCAGATTCAGCATTATCATCGTTTTTATCTTTTCTTGAACAATGAGATCTAATATTGGATAATCTGGAGGTTTTTTTGGCAAAGTTTTGATCAATGTATGGAGAACATGATGTAATTCGTGTTGCAACCAACAAGATCCATATTTTGTGATAAGGCAATGGATTAATAACGTTATATGATTCACAGTTTTGACAACTTGTAACTGATATCAAGTGGAATGGTGCTGCACTTGTTAGCCAATTTCTCTAAGGATTACAATATGAGGTAAAAAAATTAATGCTCAACTTATCTAATTCTTAAACATTGAATTAAGCAATTGACTTCGCTGTGAAGTGCAACAATTGTCTTTTTAAATTTCGATCTAAGAACCATACAAGTAGACCTTAACATTACTATAATTCAATGGCAATACCATCATCTCTTCAACACATACATTCGGGAGTAGAAGATATGCAAATTGATGTGATATGTTTCAAACCTCTTACTGAGCAAGAAAAGAGACATTGTTGTCAGGAAGGATTATGCTTATATTGTAGAAAACCTAAGCACACTGCTCAACATTGCCCAAAGAAGTGATGCAACTATAAAATGAAGAGTACAACTATCAAAAAAGATAGTATGTCAAAAAACGAGTTTGTCCAATTACAATAGAGAATGTGTGGCTAGAACCTTATACAACATCTACTGAAGGTTCTATTCTCTCCTAAGAATCTTTTCCTTGTTTTAAGATAAATGTTATTTTAGGACCTAAACATCACAAAGCCTCTGCCTTGTTAGATTGAGGAGTCTCAGCATGTTTCTTAGATGAAGAATTTGCTAAAAGACATAACATAATATTAGTGAAGAAAACTAAACCTGTTTATGTAGAAGTCATAGATGGTCGTTTGTTGTCTTCAAGAGATGTTATTCATGAAATCTTTCTTATAGAAGTATCAACTAATGGACATAGTAGCTTTATAATATTTAATATTATTAGATCTCCCTCTAATCCAGTCATTTTAGGTTTATCATGGCTAAAAAAATATAATCCTAAAATAGATTGGACTTCTCGTAGTCTTCATTTTTTTGAAAGTATAACTAAGAATATAGTTAACCAAGTAGAAAGTCATAAGTCTAGTACAACTAAATATGTATTTGTAGATGCAAGAGCTTTCTTGTATGTTACAAAAGAAGGATCACCATGTGTTATTTATATAGCACTTGTTTCTACTGGTGGAAAGACTTCAAGTGGCATTCCAAGCCAATATTTAGATTTTCAAGATGTATTTGAAAAAAAGAATGTAGATATTCTTCCGGAACATCGTTCCTATGATTGCTCAATTGACCTTCAAGAAAGAGCACAACCGCCATTTGGACCAATCTACAATTTATCACAAAATGAGTTGGCTAAATTCAAGGAGTATATTGAAGAAAATTTGGCCAAGAACTTAATGTACTATTCCAAATTTTCAACATGAGCTCCAATTTTATTTGTGAAGAAAAAAGATGGATCATTGTAGATGTGTATTGATTATTGAGGACTCAAGAAAATCACCATAAAAAACAAGTACCCGCTACGTTTGATATCTAAATTACTTGATTAGTTAAATCAAGCTAAGATCTATACAAAAATAGATCTATGAGGAGCATACAGTCTAATATACATCAAAGAATGAGATGAATGGAAGATTGAATTTCGAACAAGATATGGATATTTCAAATATAACATCATGCCTATTGGACTTATAAATATACCAACAACATTTCAACATCTAATGAATAATGTCTTTTGGGAGTTTTTAGATGATTTTGTTATCTGTTACCTAGACGACATCTTAATCTATTCTAAGAATACAGAAGAATATGAACTTCATATTCGTCATGTATTACAAAAACTAAGAGATGCGGGACTCTATGCCAAGATTGAAAAGAATATATTTCATACTATTCAAGTCAACTTCTTAGGATACATCATTTCAAATGATGAACTTATAATCAATCCTAAAAAAGTTTAAGCTATTATGGATTGAAAGATTTCAAAAATGGTAAGAAATGTCCAATGATTTTTGGGATTTGCTAACTATTACTGGATCTTCATGAAAGACTTTTCTCATGTTACACCTCTACTTATACGTTTGACTTGTAAAGACAAACTTCAATAGAATCAAGAAGCGGAAGTAGTATTTGAAGCTTTGAAGACAACCTTTGTTTCTGCACCAATCTTATATTTCATCAATTTTTTTAAGCCATTTTTTATAGAAATAGACGCATCAAACTTTGCTTTCAATGCCATATTGTCACAAATTGGAACAGATGATAAACTTCATCCAATAGCTTTTCATTCTAGAAAAATTTCAGTAGCCGAGATTAACTATGAGATCCATGACAAAGAACTTCTTACAATTATGGATTTGTTTCAAGAATGGGGCCATTATCTAGAAGGTACTTTTAGT